CCTGCTGAAGATTTGGAAGTTTACGAATATGTTTTTCTTAAAGTTTATTGTAATAATCACTCAATATTTAAACATAATGTATCACTTAATAACTAAGTTTAGGTATACTATAAATTAATCTACTCAAATTCTATATTCATTGTTATCCCTAAATATAATTTAAAATTGGTATAATTTATTTGATCCCTAAATACAACATAAAATTGATAAAATGATTTGGATATGGGGTTAATATGCGAATGAAAAGAATAATAAAGATTTAAATATATCTTTAGTTCTTCAAATTTAAAATTTATTTTAAATTTTATAATTTTAAAAAATATTATTTTGATTTCTCAAATTTAAGACTTATGTTTTTAGTTTACAACACATAAGAAATTTAGTCTCTCTCAACTTATTATTGTCAATTTTGGTATTAATGATTAAAATGATATTTTCTTATATTTATAAGGACTAAAATAATAAATTTAAAATTTAAAAGATCAAAATAATAATTTTTAACATTCTGAAGACTAGAAAAATAAATTTTAAATTTAGAGGACAAAAAAGTATATACTCCAAATTTAAAAAGAAATAAAAATATAATTAAGCCAAAAATAAAAGAGAAAGGTATACTAGTCTGGACCGTTTTCTTTAATTTTTCAAGAAGAACAAAAAAATGAGTATACCATTTGTGATATTTGCCCAATTCCTTTTTAATCTCCCTCTTTTTTTGGGGTCCATCCAATCCTATTATACTTTTTCTTTTAAATTGTTCATGAGGAATATTGAGTGCCTAAAGTGCAGTTAGTTTGTGTGGGCCTTGCTAGTCACTATTTGTCATCTTCATCTATGCTTCTGTGGCTTAAAATATTAATATTAGTGCATCAAGTACGAATTAGTTTATATTTGATGTGAATTTTAACTTGGAACTCTATTTTCTAACATTATAATTAAGATGTTATGCGTAAATTTTAAATAAAAAGAAAAAACTCTTACTTTTGAAAACAATAATTTCTACGAGAGGAGCTATGAAGTGTTCCATTTCAAGTCGCTGGAACTGTTGCATGTATATTTGGTATATACATAGCTATGTTTACCAGAAAAAGAAAAAACTAGCTAGCTATAATAACAAATTAACAGCAAGTATTATTATTGTAGTTGTTGAGCTTATCTATTATTATTTTGAAACGTATTTGATTTTCCTTTCTTTTTTGTCTCTTGTGCTGTGCTTCTCTTGTCCAAGCCTTCAAACATAAAAACTACTCGAACTTTAGTTATTAAAAGAAATTAGGGGAAAAATTATGACCTAATTTAAAGTAATGAAAGTTCTGAGATACAATAAATAACTATTTACTAAAAAATTATATTAAAATAAATGACTAAAAACATAAACCAAACTTATCAAATGTTTTTGTTTTATGTAGGAAGGGCCCAAAGGGATTTAAGGAAACTAGACTAATGACAGATACTAAGGGTGGAGGAATAGTAAAAAGTTTCAACTAAGGGTGTGAGACAATGAGACATCTTATTTTACTGAATTATTTTGTTGAAATTAACTATGCGATGTGTTTATAAATTTGTGTTTCTTCCGAAAGAGAATAAAGAAATTCATTTCCAAAGGCTTCATCTGTTTAATTCAACTCATATAAATTTTAATTTAATTTCATTGTCATTTTGTCTTACATTAATAATTTATTATTTATTAATCTGAAAGTAGAAGTCTTATAGGCTACATTTTATTTCACATTTATAAACCTCAAACAGTTGTTTAAGTCAATTATGAGAACTCATGAATTGAAAGAAAAATGTACGTTGGAGTGTGTGTTAACTCCAACACAACCACATACTAAGTTTACTTTTCATTTTGGATGGATCTTATAGTTTTGACTTTAAAGAACAATCATTATACAAATTAAATAACATTTTGCCCTACCATTATACTATTGGTATGCTTGTGTACAATAAAGATTGAGTAAAAATTTGATTCATTTTACTTTATATATATATATATATACTTATTGAGAAATTTATTAAAACTAAGTTAAATAAGATATAAATAAGATTTTAGTAGATTCTTGTGATGTAATGAAAATTCAAGGAATGCTGATCGTAATTAGAACATGAAATGGGTTGTTGCCTAGTTATAGCCAATTAGGCCCAATGTATTGATGTTGCCATTTTAGTCTTTGATTTGTCTTTTTTTGGCTATACCCATACAACTAACTACATCTTCTGGATCGCAATAGAACACAAAAAATAATAACTCAATAATAAATAAATGATTTAAATATGTTTTTAGTCCTTTAAATTTAAGAAAAAATTATTTTTGGTCTCTCAAATTTAAAATCATTATTTTTAGTCTTAATAATTTTTAAAAATCTTATTTTAATCACTCAAATCACTAATAATATATATAAAAGTAACAAATTAAGACAGTTATGCAATATCAATTGAATTTAATATAATATTTTCACTAATAGGGACATCAATAGGTAGATTTTATGTAATAATATTTAATAAATTTTTAATAAAATTTGAATATAAGGGCTAAAATAATTTTTTTTTTAAAATTACAAGGACTAAACGTCAATTTTAAATTTGAAGGATCAAAAATAAATTTATCCTAAATTTGAGAGACTAAAAACATACTTAAACCTAAATAAATTAAATGAACAACTTCAATATTTGCTTGCATATTTATCATTTTTAAGTGTTTTCCTAACTAGATGCATGTCCTATATATCTTTCTTAATGTGTTTTGGACGTTTTTCATTATTATTATTGTAAACACCAAATTTATTTCATTAATCTTTTTACTAATTTATTTTTCAAATTTTCCAAATTAATGATTTAATAACAAGTAATTTACAAAAAAATTTACTCAAATAATACTATTTTTAAAAAATTACCCAAATAGCAACTGTGCAAATTTATTTTCCCGACTAGCACCATTTACTGTTGACATTTAGAACGGTCCGTTCTGATTTCAGAATGGGCCATTCCATATTAAAAAATAACACATGGCGAATGGATCAGAACGGGCCGTTCTAAATTCAAAATTAGCACATCAAAAGTGAAACCAGAACGGGTCATTCTGAATCCGGAACGGGCTGTTCTGGCCTATAGATTCAGACCATTTTTTTTTTCGATTTTCACTTATCAAATACTAAAACTCATAAAGTACCATCAAGTGATTAAAGTTATTGAATATTAACATTATAAATATAAATAAATAAATTTATTAAAATTCATTACAACAATAAAGATCAATGGTGGCGGAAACTAAATTCATGACCAATATTTGGATATGTCTTCCTAGTGTGACTAGGAGTGTGACAATAGGAACAATTTTTTACACGATTATGTTTTTCTCTAATGTCCATCTTTGTTCTAATCCTGCTAGACTTTGGCTGACCCTTGAAAGTTCTATTGAGTTTTGGATTTGGCCACAAAGTTGGAAGAAACGCAATATCCGAGAAAAGTTTGACCCGCTGGGAGATTTATAGTAAGGCTAAATGAAATGTGGTATGATTGCGGCAAGTTTCAGAAAGTTCATATTCCTTGCTCGCATGACCCGCTGGGAGATTTACAGTAAGACTAAATGTAATGTGGTATGATTGCGGCAAGTTCCAGAAAGTTCATATCCCTTGTTCGCATGACCCGCTGGGAGATTTGCAGAGATGGACATTAGAGAACAACATAATCAATTTTTGCCACCATTGATCTTTATTGTTGTATTGAATTTTAATAAATTTATTTAGTTATATTTATAATGTTAATATTCAACAAATTTAATTATTTGATGTTAATTTCTGAGTTTTGGTATTTGATAAGTGAAAATCAAACTTTTTTTTATTTATAAGCTAGAACGGCCCGTTCTGGATTCAGAATGACCGTTTTGATTCCACTTTTTATGTGCTAATTTTGAATCTGGAATGGCCTGTTCTGATCCATTCGTCATGTGTTATTTTTTAATCTGGAACGGTCCGTTCTGAAATCAGAATTGCCCGTTCTGAACGTGAATAGTAAACGATGCTGGTTGGGGAAATAAATTTGCACAGTTGCTATTTGGGTAATTTTTTTAAAATAGTATTATTTGAATAAAAAACTCTAATTTACAAATCAAATTTTAACTTAAATAAAAATATATACAATAATAATAACAAAAGAAAATCAAAAAAAGACAAAGGAAGAGGGAAACAATATCTTCCTTTGTACCAAAATCTCTGTCATCCTACACTTTTCTATGTTGTTAATCCTCCTCCAACAAGCTTGCTGAGCTTCTCTGCCATAGCCACCAACATGTTCCTAAGAGCATGCTTTTGCCATATATGCTTCCAAAAGCATGAGCTTGGTACCAACTGCCAAAGAACAATTAAAATAATAGTGAGTCTATAAATAATAGAACATAACATGAATAAAAGGGGGAACGAAAAATTTTTGAAACAGAGAAGAATCAAGGATCAAAACTAAATTTCAAATAGGGACAACTCAAGTAGAAGGCAAAAGAAGACGCTAAAGTAGTGTGGGTATCAATTACTCTCTCCGATTTTTATTTAGTATGATGTTGTTGTTATTATATAGAATGCAAATTAATTTCTAATCAGTAAAACAATTTTTTTTAGTGAATCTTTTATCATGAAATTGAAACCCTCATTCTCAAACCTCAGTAAAGCATTTAACAAGTAAAAATCCAGTCACAATAGAAAAATAGATGGAAATAAAATAAAAAAAGGGGCTGATGAACAATACCAGGGAATGAAACGATGCTTCCCATGAACACCATCATGCACCGCTGTCGAAGACAATTTTCGGCCACCGCAAGTATCGCCATGCACCGCCACGCGCTGCTATCGGAGGCAATTTTCGGTGGCGGCATCGTCGGCCTTTAGCCTCTTTTGTGGACCCTTACTATGCCTGATCGTGACGAACCGCGCACCACCTTCGAAAATGATTTTCGGTGGCAGCAACCACCCTCTACCTTTCTTCGTTTCCCTCTTCAGCCATCTTCTCCTTCCCTCTGCATAGCTGACTGTCCACCTTAACCATGACGACGCCATGACAGCGATCCGTCGCGCCGTCGACGTTCATGGAGGGAGGCTGCGCACAAAACCCTAGCAGAGCCTCCCCCACTCCTCTCAGATCTCACCCTTTTCTATTTTTAGGATTTCAATGAAATGACACTTAGCCATCTGATTTCCTTTTCTATTTTTACGTGGCATTCCCTTAATATTAGATGATGATATTTGTTTCTTGTTTTAACAAAATCAGTTTTATGTGATTAAGTTGTTTCTTTATACAAATGTGTTAGATGTTTACATAATTTTTAATCCATTTAAACAACAATAATAATAATATTGATAATAATAATAATAATTACCGTGGCATTCTCTTATCAACATTTATATTCATAATATCTATCATTTTAAAAAAGAGATTATTTGAATGTAACATTTTCATGATTATAGAGCTTAGAGATGCAAGTTGTGACAATTTGTAATCTTAAAGTCCTTATTTAAATTCAAAATATGATTAAATATCAAAATATAGTGTTACAATATTCAATATAAATATTTGAATTTATTGTATCAAAAATTTTATTGGAGGAATGATTAATTAGATATGACATCTTTTGACCACTAGGTTAGCCCAGTGATTGGGTGAGGAGAGGCTGGGATAGTTAGAAGCATGAAGACCTGGGTTCAATCTAAAAAGATGTGGCATCTTTTTAACCTTTGAATTTAAAATACAAGTTGTGACAACTTGATATCTTTAAATTTTTTGTCCAAAACAAAAATATCCAAACAAAAAATCTTTTAAGATAATAATATCTATAACAATAATTATAATTAAAATTTTATTGAGTTAACTTTGGTGTACACCTCAGTCAATTTTATGTTTTAGGATGAATGAGCTGAGATAATTCAAGAATCCTAAATTTAACAAAAATAAAATTTAATTAAAAAAATATCAAAACACAAATATTTTATACAAAGAAATACGTAACTCTGATTCTTCATTACACATAGAGATACGTAGGAGGAAGAAATAAATCTTGTCGAGCAAAAAAAAATAATAAAAAAGATAATATTATCTTTCTTTTTATATAAAAATAATAATTTTAATTTTTTAATGCATTAGTTAAATAAATACATTTAATCATTATAGTCAATTAATTTAGGGTAATATAAATATTTTATAAGTTATAAATAATTTATTTAATTAATTAAAGGTAATCGTACGTAATCGACTTCCGAATTCAAAATATAATTTTTGTAGACCATTTTTTTACATTGTAGTTTTTCTAATATTTTTCATGAAAATAAACATCGGTGGTAATTTTATTATTTTAAATTTTATTTTCAATAATTATTATCATTTATCACCACATATCATTATTAGAATAATAAAATATACACGTACTCTGATATCAACTTTATGTGACGACGTAAAGAGTGCATTGTACAATTTACCTACAAAGCTAAGAAAATGATTGATAAAAAGAAAATCTAATAAACTTGAAAGAAGCTAGTATAAATAATTTGAGTTAAATCTAACCATATGACTATTAACCATAGTTATCCTGATATTTCCTAATTCCTATCACTTCATATGCTTGACCTAACCATGGTTTACCTAGACATAGATAAACTGTCCATTTACCATTGTAAAGATGTGTTAAAGTTTGCCAATGGTAGGACACAGCCACAGCCCACATCTACTGTGACAGAAGGATCATACCTGACCTGATCAAACTTTTTGAATGGCCAATTATTAGTCTAAATATGACAACAATTTTAAAGATAGTATATAGAATAGATATTCTTTTAACTTTCCAACACCGAATATTTGACCCATAATTTGTTATTTTCTAAATTTGAATCTCAATGTCCTTGGTTGTATATGGTATTGTAGGTCTCAATCTTAAAGGTGTTACATCCACCCATACAAATAGCACAGACATGGATCCTTTGTGTGTGCCATGAAAGTAACGTGCCATGAATCAACACCAAAAAGTACATCCAAAAGGAAATTATTGTTTATAAAGCCTTTCCTTTAGTTGGTGTTTCCATCTTACACTGAGAAACCCTTTCATGCTTAAAAGATTTTTTTCTTCTGCTGAAAAGCATAATCACCATTGTATAACATATGGAACCCACAATTTTTTAAAGCACATGTATTCAATGGTGGTGGGATGTTACATCTGGAGGAAAAAGTTTCACCCTCCCAGTTATGTGCACGAAAGTAAAACAAATGCATTTTTTTTAATTGGAATTGCCGAATTGGTATACAGTTGTTTTCTGTAATCCAATTTGGGATTGATACCAAAAATATATAAAGGAGAGACTTAATTATAGATAAACTTTAACATATACATAATTATTTTAATTTATAAAACTAACACAAAGAGGAGGGGGAAGGGGGGCCTATATACTTTCCATCCTATGAATCTTCCTTGAATCTAATTACACTTTTAAACAATTATGAAAGAAAGGATTTTACTTGGATCTTCATGAAACTTGAATCTAATTAAACAATTAAGGGGGAAAAAAGGATTTTACTTAGATATTCGTGAAATTATTCATGTTCACATGCACACTCTGTTTTCGTCCTTAGCAGCAAGTTAATGCTATTTAGTCCAATTAACGAAACACATTGCCATTAGTTCTATGAAACACTAGAGATTGCAACGCTATATGTTCTATATATTACTTATGGCGTGTTTGGGTGAAAGTTTATCAAATTAATTATGAAGTAACGTGATTTAATTTTTGAAATTTTTTATTATATAATACAAAAACCATCTAAATCAATTACAAATCTAGAATAAATTAAACATGAAATCAAACTTTTAAATATTTACCTGATATATATCAATTGATATTTTAATAATTTAAGATTATCTCCAAACATTAATGGAAACACTTTCTACATTAAAATAAAATAAAATTCACCTTAAATGGTGTGAAAAATGGAAAAGCTAAAACTAACAGTATTCATTTTGATATGAAAAAACACACGTGAAATTCATTGCCATATATATACACTATTAACATGTTTAATTCTATATTTTAGATGTAATTAATTATCCATATCTCAAGATATGATTTTAAGAACCTATAAATAAGATAATGCATTAAGGAGAAAAAAGAAAAGAGGAAGCCATGGGCAAACGTGATTTCTTGTTTGTGAACAGTTTCTAAACATGCTATAAATAGGATAATGCATTAAGCGATGGTCAAAACTCAAAAGATTGAAAAGCACTATTTTTGGATGCAGCAGAGCAGGGACATGCATAAGGACAAAAGAGAAAAAGGAAGCCATATGGAATATTGCTTTGCGTATCAGCAACCAGTATTTCTATATTTGCCGTGTAACTTTTTCAGTTGCCTTGCTTCTTCAGTTTCCTTTTTGGTTTTTGCATCTTTGAGTTTGGCCACTCAACTCAAATGGGATTAATGTTTGGCGTCAACCGTCAAGGTCTTTGCCTCTGACACTGAACGGAAACTTGAAGAATTTCAATAACAGTTGGCTTAATTATATTTTCATTAACATAAATATAATATTTAAGAAATCTTTGAAAAAAATCATACCCTTTTTTTAATCTGGATCAGGCATGACTTATTATTAGTTATGCCTCGTTAAAGGACCAATTCGATCGATGTCATCCACGAATGAATAATATGGCATGCTTTTAAAAAATCATAATAAGTATTTGCTAAAAAGAGTCTTCATGTAAAATACACACCTAAACGCAATAATTGGTACTAGAAAATGACACGCAAAATCAATCCTCATATTATACTTTTTTTTTCTTTTGTCTTTCTTTTACCTAAACATTTAGTCACTCATTCAGTTTAAACTTTAAAGAATGATAGAGGTAAACAGGGTTTTAGCTTGTGTTTTGTGTGTGCATCAAATTAATACGCGAGTCGAGTGACATTTTCACGACAATAGTGTGAAATAAAGAACAAAGAAATAAATTACTATATATATTTCTGCCGGATTAAATACTGATAAACGTTAAATCAAACACGGGGTTATTTTGAAAATAATATTTCTCAAGTTTAAAAAGAGACGTCTAAATTTTATATTTGCCTATATTTACTTATTCGAGATTAAGAAGTATTTGTGTTAGACGTACATTTTACAGTGACAATGTGGAGTTTTGAAATGTTGTGTTAGTTGCATTAATGTGTTAAAACTTCTTATCAAAGTAGTATTGATTCTTCATTCATCTTTATCCGTAATAATGGACGCATTGAGAGTTAAATGCCTACTGTTTGATTCGTTTAAGCACATGAGGTCGTTATGTGCCACAATGGATGGGAAGAACATCAAATTCAAAGATACAATCTAACATATTTAGTAGGTACGAGAACAGTTTATGTGGTTACGTGAAAAATTGTGACTAAATTTTATGGACACATCTTTTATTTTATGTGGCTTCACTAGGTTATCATATTTAATCTTTTTGCAGACATAGTTTGTGTGTTGCCACACAAAATGATATGTGTGATCTCTATAATAGTTAAGAAACTTATTATAAACAACTGACTAAATTTAGATCTAGCTTTTTTTCCATTTGTGACATCTTAAATTTTCTCATTTGTGAAGCTAGGTTTTGTGCAAAACTTGATATTTGAGAAATCAAGTTCAATTCTTACCGATTCTAATGGAGTTTCTTCTCAACCCTTCGTAATCTTCTTCTACATGTGTAACTAAATTCTCATGCTAATTAAGGAAGGAACAATTTTGTTCTAATTGTTGTGTGAATTGATTATATGATCTCAATTCTTGTTTATTTTTTTAAGGAAATTCCTTTTGTGTCGTCTTTGTTGCGAGAGTTTTGGTGCTCCTTGTAACATCCTAAGTTTTCTAAAATTATTAAAAGGATATTTTAATTAATTAAATATATTTTATAAGTATATTAAATGTTTTTAAATAATTATATGAATGTTTTTGTTAATTAAAGAAAAGTTTGTGAAATTATTTGTATTATTAATTATTAAAGATATAAATATATTTTATTTGTTTTAACACATTTTTATTATATATTATGATTTTGATTAATTGATAGATTTTATAGATAAGAATATTTTTAGATAATAAAAATAAAAATTTCAAAATTATTTTATTTGATGAGATATTATCTTATGTATTTATCTGTAAAAGCTTTGAATAATTAATCTGAGTTATTTTGAAAACAAGAGTTAGTAATTAAAAGAATACTTTATAGTTGATTATAATAGATAATTATTTGAATTTCAAGAAAGAAGTAACCAATTGTGGATTAATGGGTTACCAACGGGTTATGCAATGATTAGGGTGTCGTGTTTCATATTTATAAATTAGCAGTCTAGGATTGTCTTTCATAATTAACACACATCCCTATGCTTTAAGAGGAGATAGTGACTTTTCATTAAGAGAGAACAGTAACAAAACATGAGAGAGAAGAGAAGAGAGGAAATCGATTGTTCAATAATTGGCATAGCCATCATGCAACAAATTTTGAATTATAATCGTTTGTTGTTGGATCAAATTGAATTTTGGATAGTGGGTTCATAGGACGTTATTATTTGTTTTCAACTGTTAAATCATCCAAATAATGCTTATAGTGGGAGAAAAGCGTTTCACAATAAAAGCTCTACTTTTGGGAGTTTTCATTTTCTTCCTTCTCATTAAGGAGTGAGAATCGTAGGCAGCCAGAGATAATCTCAAAGATTTGCATCTGGAGTTTGTCAATCATCGAGGTAAGGTGGGAGAGAGAACCTCGCTTTAAGTGTGGGTTATTTGTTAGGTAACAGGATTGATCCACAATTCCATTGTTTGTGTTTGATTTGAATACATGAGGTATTAAACCTAAACTTGATTGTGATATGTATCTAGTGTTCATTTGATTTACAATTGCGTTGTTTTGGTATAATTTTATTTATGATCTATGATTTTGTCTCTGTTTGTGATTCTATGTCATTTGTAAATTCTCTAGTGTTCTGAATGTGTTAATAAGTTGTGATTATATTTTTGATTCTTAGAATTGCTTATATTGTAAATTTGTGAGTGTTTGCGAGTTTTTAAGAAAATCTTAAGAATGAGTACAAATCAAATTATTGGAAAAACAATTACGAACAGGAAACCTTTAGAATAAGAATGAATTAATTAAAGTGTAGATACCTTTTTTTTTTCTTTTCTAAAGTGAGTTCATAAAATTCGTGAGACTCAATTTCAGAATGACTTGCAAATTATGCAAATTAGACATTTTGATACTATGCTAGTGCCACGTTGGGGTTGTTGGGCACGATGGCCACAGAGCGCCTTTGTGATGGTCACATTAGGCATGTGGAGGTGTACGTCGGACGTGAGAGCCACAAAATGCTCGCGACGTCATTGATGTTGGGCATGAGCTTAGTCACGTTGAGCATAAGGGATCCAAGGGCTCCCTATTATAAATTCATCGAGCGTAGGAGAGTCACGATGAGTGTAATTCTCCCAAAGGCTTGCAACCTCGATCATGCTAGGCACCAGACATCCCTCACCGGATGTTGTCTTGTGCCTATAACTAGAAATGTGAAATTGATTAATTGGTGAGTCTTGATTGATGAGCTATGTGAGTTACTTAATTGAGATAATTGAATTATGTATGTAGTGTAGAAGTATGTGATGAACCCTTGAGGTATGTAAAATTTGACAACGTGTAAAGTGATTATGTGAATAAGTCTAAATATATCTTGGCAATGATGCGACTAATGTGATGGAAAATAAGGTATATGTGTATTGTAAATGTGACTAGTATGATCATGCATAGAGTCTGTGTAATATGCATTATGTGTTTTGTGATGCGTATAATATAAAATACACTACTAGGGGAGTCTCTCTTGTTTAACAATTTAAGGATTCATGACCTTGGAAACAATTAAGTTTGAGAGCCTTAATCTCATCCATTTGTGTACATGGGGTGAAACTTGAACAACACATCTGTCCTGATGCACCAGTAATATATTTTCTCCTAATATTGGGTGTTGTGATAGTATGATGTACGTTGTTTGAAGATTCAAACACGACCATGTGCCTATGCGAGAGCGTCCCAACACCAACAGTCGTGATAGCACGTGGGGAATGGGTGCTCCGGGGCAAGCTTGTACTCGAAGGAAAGTACGATGCAGTCGATTTGGGAAACGAAGGTGTTGAAATGGGAAAGAGGCTTCACATGGGTTCAAGTCTTGGTTTCAAAACCATCTTGATTCCCTTACTGCATACCCATTTACTCTTTCAGTCAACATTTCAAAATTTAAAATGACGTGGACATATAAGCCACGTGTCAACATTCCATTGGCTATATATACAGGGGCACCAAAACCCTCTCAACAATTCCTTTTATTAATTGCATGTTCAATTCTGATACTTGTCTTAGTTTAACCGTTTAGGAGTTGAATTAAAAACTCAATTTCACAATTGAAAAGTTAATTTATTAATTAGAATTTGAAGTGAGTCTGCACCTTAATTGCCAAACGATTTAAGAATATGATTGGGTTATTAAAAGGTTTTGGCTAAATTGTAATTTTAATTTTTTGTTAATTCATAATTTTGATTTTTTTATTTTAAAATATAGATATTTAGTTTTTTATTTTTAAAATTAAATAATTTTTTTGTCTAATTATCAATTTAATATTCAATAATCACTAAATTTTAACTTTTTTTTTAATTATCATCAATTAATTAACGTGATATTTAGTAATATAATATTTAGTGACATGACATATATAAGAATAAAATTTTAAAAAATAACCTACAAAATATCATCATTTGTATTTATTTTAATAAGTAATTGATATTTATTTTATTAATAAATTTTATATGCATTGTTTTAGTTTTTTTTTTTTAATTTTCTGATATCATGTTGTTAAATGTCATATCAATTAAATATGTGTAAATATTAGCACTTAACAATTAATAAATATCAATTTGACAAGAGAATCAAAATTTCATATTTTTAAAATTAAAAATGATTAAATGTTTCTATTTTAAAATAAAAGGATCAAAATTATAAATTTATAAAAATAGAAAGACTAAAAGTTAAATTTAGCCAAAATCTTCTACGTACCCTTGCTAAATGCTTGTTTGGTTTAAATTTACCTAAGAAATTAATGTTCTTCAATTGAACAAAAGGGTCAAGTGTCAAGAAATTGAACTTAATCCTAATTAATCTTCAATTAAGAGACTTGCAACTTGGATCAAGAACGGAATTGTATACATTGCATAAGAAGAGGAATGAAAAGATTCCAACTCTAATGCTTTGTTACCCATTATTTGTATTTGTGAGATATATCTCTTGAATTTTGGGTGTTTGTTGTTTACTAAAGATTTTCTGTCCTTTGGTAAAAGTAAGATTTGTTAATTTATTACAAATTTAAGTGCAAATAGTGATCCTATATTTGTAAGTGGGTAATTGAAATACAATCCTTGTTGAAACAATACTCACCAACTTCGAATTTTTGGCACAGCTTAGCGCATTTGTTGAAGTTTTCCCCCATCAAAACCTAGTAAAAAATTATAGTAGTTGTTGTATAATTTTTTAATCGGATGGGAATTGGTCGGAAGTGCACGTTAGGAACTGCTATGTAAGGTATTGTGACATCTACCTCTTGTAATCTGTCTCCTTATCTAAACTCTGCATCTCTTCTCTTGTGCTGTTGTTTAGAGACTCAGAGTTAATAAATCTTCTTTGGCTTTTTTTTGTTTTTTTGCATATATACAGTTGTGCATTTTTTTTATAAAAAAAATTATTGTGTCTAAATAAGTGTATTAACTTTTACGCTGCATTATTAGAATGAATCATCTCACGTGTCTTTGTCATAAAATTATATCTTTCAAATTTCCTTATAAGCATTCATAAATTTTAACAAGGTCGTATTTATTTAATTTAATGTCCATAAAAAGAAGAAAGATGATTCATATTAAAAGAAAAAGAAAAAAAAAAGAGGCAACCTGTAAATCATGGTGAGTTGTGATGATAGAAGCAAGAATTATGTAGGTAGCAATGCCATATTTGTGTCCACCGATCCTCTCCACATGTTCCGAACACCACATGTGCTATTTGCACCATGAAGATGACATTAAGTGTCCGTATCCCTAGCTGCTGAGCTGTTATGGACCAAAAGTGGCCCTCTCTTAACAACATGACGTTGCGATTGCAACTGGCAAATGTTGGTATATCAAATGTTGTGTTATGGGGACATCATTTTCTGTCCACCGCAGTTAACTAAAAACATTTTCAAAGATCTCTCCACAACTTTCTAGTTTTTTCTTTTGGGGGTTGATTGATCCAAGTTGATTCTAAGTTCAAATTCTACTGAAACTAGTTGCTTCAATTCTTCTCTACATTAGGTTTGCCTTACTTTCAACTCAAAAGAAATTAGAAAAGAGAGAGAGAGAGGAAGAAATTTTTTTTTAAATTTCACAATTACCGGATCAACTTGGGAGTCGGCAAAAACCAGAGATTAAGAATTGTTCAGTGTCCAATGTCAAGAGATTAAAATATATAGAGAGAGACAGGCACGTATTGCCTGTTTTTCGACTAATAATATATAAAAAATTAAAACCAATTTAAAATTCACAATACCAACACAATCACGCCAAAATTAAAACATAAAATTAAGACATACGCAATTTTTATTACGAACCATATAAAAAAGATTTAATTGTGTCGGAAGACATGGTAACGCGCACACGAATGATTCCCCTTGAGCCGAAATCCATGGAAGATTGATTATACGAGATCTTGTGAGTTGTGAGTAAAAAATAACGGTAGTATATAATTTTATTTCCCTGTTGAAATTATTTTACAATCCAATGAAGAGAAACAGATTGTGCAAAAACCGAGGATGAAGAAGAAAAGATAAAGATACGTGTTCCTATGAGGCAATTTAATTTAAGCCCTAAAGTAAAAGAGGGGAAAAGGTAGAAAAAAGAAAAAAAGAAACATAGAGGGGTGCATGTTGATGATGAGTGATGACCCCAGTATGCAAAAATGAGGCAAAGGCTTTCCCCGAGAACATAGAGCGGCGTTAGATCTTGATTGTGTCTAATTAGATTGCATCCTATGAGTATGAAGTGTCTTGGTTTAGTATCTATTATAGGGTGGCTATACGGGCACAAAGGGCGGCACCATGGGAGGCGGCTCGTAGCAGAAGGGGGCGGCGGGGTGCTGCCAGTTTTTAAACGACGCCGTGACCTTCTCGGGCTCGCGCTGCGGCGGGTCCTGCGGAGGCTTGAGCTCTATCGGCGGCGGCGAGGAGGCGAGAGGCGAGAGGAGGGGGATGGCGACGTTCCATTGGACGGCGCGGTTTATGGTGAGGGAGGAAGGGGCCCGGCGCTGCAGGCGGCTGGGCTGGTGGCCGTTATTGGTGTTCCTTTGGAGATCTGACATTGGAATATGAGATTGAAGAATGAAGATGGTGGTGTTTGCTTTTTATATATAAAGAAAAAGAGAGAGGGAGTGCACGGACACGTAACACGTAACACGTAACACGTAACACGTAACACGTTCGGAAGGTGAAAGAAAGTGGACCCCACCTGCCTGTTGTACAGCTTGGCTTGGCTTGGCTGCTGTAAGTCTGTAACCATTCAACCTTCAACGGATTGGAATTGGATGCCTCGCCTTTCTCTTTACTCCTTTTGCTTAACATCAAATCTTCCCGTTTATAACATCTAAATATTTTTAGGATTTCAGATAATATTAGTTTTTAAATAAATAAATGAGTTGGTTAAAAATGAGAGATCAACATTGATAATGTAACGACCCGGCTGGTCACTACGTACATCACTGTACACCAGAAACGCTAGACAGAAAGGATAAGTATATAAATATAGGATCTAGAATATAAATATATACAAAGTCCCTATCTGACTAGAGTTAGAGTGTACAAAAACAAAATACATTATCAACGGCTACACCAAGTAGCTGAAAATAACAAAGCATTAACAAGGATCCAGCTCCGCCTGCCAGATGCAGACTCACCACTAGCCACCCGCCTAACCCTGCTCTGCTCTCATACATAGTATGATCATCGCAGTCCAAACCACATGGAAACAACAAAGGGTAAGCTAGTGAAAAGAAATAACATACATATATAAATATATGAATAGTAAACAACTACCCCTATCAGCACAGCAAATCGACACATCAATCAGCTTAACAAAATTCATTTAAAATACCACAACATTTAGCCATAATAGCACACATTTCACATCTTCAACATACAACTCATCGATTTTACAGCATAATCAGCAATAAGCACACAATGCGTCGTCACACATATCAACTCGGAGATCTCCTACAGCAACTCAGCCATTATGGCCTACAATAACTCAGCCTTTCGGCCTACAACAACTCAGCCATTATGGCCTACAACAACTCAGCCCTTATGGCCTACAACAATTCATATCAACATTCAACACAACACAACTTTTGCAACTCAACATATCGACTTGCAACACAACACAACTGTACAACTCAACATCAACTTTCAACACAACTCAACTGTACAACTCAACATCAACTTGCAACATAACACAAATATACAATTCAACATTAATCCACCAACATCATCCATTAGTCATCACATTATATTCATCTATTTCAACTCAACTAAGCATAAAACAACATCAACCAACATATAGAAATTTCTCATCTCCGCGCCCGACGCACTCATGGTTGCGCCCAGCGCGGTACAACCAGAGAGCACCAGAGGCTAGCGC